AAAAGAAGACGAGCAAGGCTACATGCAAGGTGGGAAGATGAAATAAAACTGACAGCAGGACCAAACTGGAGAAGGGTTGCTCAAGATAAACAACAATGGAAATCGTTGGAGGAGGCCTTTGCCAATAGGCATGCCGAACTAAGAGACATTTTATAGTTAGTTGATTCTTTTATCTTAAGATTTAATGTTAAATGCTAATAGATCGATGCTAATAGATCGATCAAAATGCTTTATTGGGGCGTATCAATATAGTTTTCTCATCTGGTTGGGTTCTATAAATATATAATTATAAATGGAGATGAAAAGATAAATATAGATAAATATCAATAACATAAAATAAATATAAAAATACATAAATAAAAAAAGCCCAACCAGATGAAGGCCCTCGGCAGGGGAGACCAAACGGCCGAGGGTTAGGGGGAAAAGGAAAGAAACAGGCGGACGATGCGGGCGGTATCGAGGAGCACCGCCTTCTGCATTTGAGCCTGGAGCGGTCCGCCACGTAGTCCCAGCGGCCTCAGATGACCCGAGAGGCTGACTAGGATTAGCCCCTTTGCAGAGACGACTACAGGAAAAATTTTGGCCGGCACACAACCCCACATGTCGGTCACCTCGTGAGGCAGGTCCAGATATTTTGATTGCTTATCTGATTTGGCTTTCACGAGGTTCTCGTCATACGGAATGGTAATATCAACCAAAAATATCCTTGACTGTACCCATCAGTACAATATCAGGCCCCAGTGGAGCTCCTTCTCCCTCCATACGGTCTCCCAGTCGGAAATGCTATGCACTGCTGGGTCCTGCCATTGCTCTTTGGCTAAGGATAGAGAAGTAAGCTCTTTATCACTAGAAATGACGTCCCTATAGAATGGATCATCCAATCTCGCCAGGAAGTAATGACGAAAGGTGCACACTTCGCGCATGCTTTCGCGGCAAGTACAGCCTCATTACCGACGATCTTGGATGATGCATCCTATGGGACGTCATGGTAGTGCGGACTTTTCTATCCAGGGCGTTAAGTTCAGTCTGAGTCCACCTGAGTGTGCTAAAGGTATACATGAGGACAGGCATGACCCAGCCGTAATATGCGTGTGCCTTATTCACACCGGACAAAAGGCTGTTTAGCACTTTGGTCAAGCGTGCATAAAATATGTCGCAAGCAGACTGTTTCATAACAGCCTCATCGACGCCGATGTTCTGTGACATACCTAGGTATCAGTATGTTTCAGCCTCGGAAAGGGTCCTTAAGTTGACCGGCATAGATAAATCTATGCCCTCAGAGTTAGCAACCCTTCCCCGTTCAACATGGAGGACCGCACACTTATCCGTTCCCAGCTCCATTCCAATAGAATTGCTAAATTCACACGTGATATTTAGCAATTCCATAAGTTGGGAGCGTCTGGAGGCGAATAACTTGAGGTCATCCATATAGAAAAGTTGGGTCACTTTTGTACCTCCTTTCCGAAGCTGAAATCCCCTCCCGGAGCCCTCTAGTAATGTTCTGAGAGGGTTCAAAGAGAGGCAGAACCAGATTGGACTCAGACAGTCACCCTAAAAGATACCTCTTCTTATACTTATGCGGATTTCCGCAACCGTCATCCGCTCACCCAGATGACAAAGGATCGTACTCCACTGCCCCATACATTGCTCGAGGAAGTCTCTAACTGTACAAGTCAATCTTGTACAGCTCGAGGACCCTCTTAAGCTATGCATGGGGAACTGAGTCGAATGCCTTTCTGTAGTCTATCCAGGCGGCGGAGAAGTTCTGACGGTTGCGTTTCACCACTTTGCCAATGACCGTGTCAATGAGGAGTGGTTCCTTGGTTCCACGACCACCGCCCCGACATCCATTTTGAGCACGCGACATTACTTGATTTTAGTTCAAGTGACGAGTGATTCTCGCGCTCAAAATGGACGTTAGTGTCTTGTATATGGTCGGTAGACACGTGATGGGGCGGTATTTGCTCGGGTCTGTGGTAACCTGGTCTTTATGAAACAAATAAGTGATCCCAGTAGTGAAGAGGCTAGGGAGCGACTTCTGGTTGAGAGCCTCTTGAAACTGACGGGCGAGCACAGCATGGTACACCATGAACCGCTTCAGCCAGTAGTAATGCAGCCCGTCGAGTCCCGGACTTTTCTAATTCGGGGCTCTACGGACCGCCTCAGCTACGTCATCCGGCGTTATGATGACGGGTTTATTATTATTATTATTATAAGTAATCAGGTATAATTTGGTTTTTGAATTAAAATTAAGTATAATTTTTTTCTAATCTCGCTCAGATGCGCTCTGAGCGAGATTAGAATGGCTCTCCAGCACCTTAATAACGACAAGTCCCCGGGTGAGGATGGAATTACAGCGGAGCTTCTGAAAGCGGGTGGAAAACCGGTACTTGAAGTCCTTCAGAGGCTCTCTTTAATTCCGTTCTCCATGGCGGCACTACTCCGGAGGCGTAGAGTAGAAGTGCGGTGGTCTTGTTCTTCAAGAAAGTTGACAACGCCCTCTTGAAAAACTACAGACCGATATCCCTTCTGAGACGCGTCTACGTGCTATTTTCTCATTACGAATCGTCTTGCACGCAGGCTCGACGACTACCAGCCTCCCGAACCAGCCGGTTTTCGAAAAGGCTTTAGTACCATAGACCACATACATACCCTTCGGCAAATTGTACAGAAGTCCGAAGAGTACAATCTGCCACTTTGTCTGGCGTATGTGAACTATGAGAAAGCCTTTGATTCCGCGAAATTTGGGCGGTGCTACAGTCTCTTCAGCGGTGCCAAGTTGACTGTCGGGATATCGAAGTGCTGAAATGTTTGTACAGTAATTCTACGATGGCTATGCGAGTACAAAACCAGAGTACGAAACCTATCCAAATGCAGAAAGGTGTAATACAGGATGACGTTATTTCCCCAAAACTCTTCACCGCTGAATTGGAAGAGGTTTTCATGCTACTGAACTGGAAAGAATACGGTATTAACATCAATAGCGAGTACATCACTCACCTTCGATTTGCCGACGATATAGTCCTTATGGCAGAATCGCTGGACGACTTAAACACTAGCTCAATGACCTCAATAGTACCTCCCAACGGATAGGTCTTAAGATGAACATGGACAAAACAAAGATCATGTTTAATGTCCATGTCACACCTATGCTGGTAGTTGTTGGGAGCACTAACCTCGAAGTTATTGACGACTACGTTTACCTGGGACAAATAGTCTGACTAGGTAAGTCCAACTTCGACCGAGAGGTCAATCGACGGATTCATCTCGGCTGGGCAGCGTTCGGAAATTACGACGCATCTTCTTGTCAGGTATACCTCAAAATCTGAAAACTAAGTTGTATAACCTGTGCGTGTTGCCAGTGATGATCTACGGAACCGAGACGTGGTCCTTTACTGCTGGCCGTATGAGGACGCTCAAAGTTGCTCAGCGAGCTATGGAGAGGGCTATGCTCGGAGTTTCTCTGCGTGATAGACTCAGAAATGAAGGATATCCGCGGTAAAACCAGAGTGACCGACGTAGCCCAATGGATTAGTAAACTGAAGTGGCAATGGGCCAGCCATATAGCTTGAAGAATCGACAACCGATGGGGAAGAAAGGTTCTCGAGTGGCAGCCTCGTACCGGTAGGCGAAGTGTAGGGCGACCCCCACTAGATGGAGTGACGACCTGGTAAGACATGCAGGAAGGCAATGGATGCAGGTGGCTCAGGACCGTGTTTTGTGGCATACCTTGGGGGAGGCCTATGTTCAGCAGTGGACTTGTGAAGGGCTGTAATGACGATGATAATTTTTTTGTTGTGTTTAAATTATCTTGTCGTTAAATATTCATATTGAAAATGTATGCAATTTTTATCATATAATGTGTAATTAATTACGTATTAATTAAAAGTTATAAAAAGTATTGTGTGACGACTCATTGTTGCCTACATAGTACTCGTATAAGTAAATTGAGTTTACAGGATTAGACAAAGTATAGATACCTACGCAATTTCATTTATTTTGTTAATGTGGGTACTTAGTTTTAGGTAGTCATTGGATTTTAGTTTTCATTTCAATTTTTTTATTCAATATCAATAATTAGTGATGGTGCTTGTTTATTTGGGGCAATATCTTACTTGCTGTATGGAAACCAAGTATTGCCTAGAGAAATTCGGGAGCAAATTAGGGATTACGTTATTGCGGTCATTTTGTTGTTTTTTACAAAATAAAACACGCAAGCGTATAGTTTGCCTAATTCTTTCGACATTTAGGACTCGTACGCTTAGAAGCCTTTTCTAAACAGTTTCTTGTATGTCTGTATTAATAATAGAGTAAATGTTCGATTGTTAAAAATATTACATTTTCAAAGTTATTCCCTGATTGCTTTAAAATTTTGACACATAGTTGCATTTGAATCTATAATTTTTTTCGAAACGAAAGTCGGAACCACCAGTATTAATATTGCCAACTTTAGAAGATTTTACACTTAAAATCTTCTAAAGTTGGCATTGCTGATGAAGGCCGCGGCTGTAATGTGCAAGGTTTCCTATGATTTTATACAACCAATTCTAAAATGCAGTGCGTACGACGCGTACGGTGTTGACAAATGTGCGTTCAGCTTAAAGCAATAAACTCTATAAAACTGTGTTTTGTTTGGTGAGTGTAAAGGACCGCGGTATAAAGTATATTAATTTTTAAAACAAAAAATTTCGCAAAAATATTGCAAACAAAATAACGTGTTAAATTTCTTCGTAACTTTGTCAGCTTTTGTTTTAATAAAAAAGCAAAGAGTAGGTGTATTTCGTTCACCCTTCAACGGTGTATCAAAGGAAGACGAGGGTTAATAAGGGGCAAGTTCGAAATGAAAATAAACGTTGAACGATCATTTAGATCTTTTGAGTTGACCTGACTTAAAAACCAAAGAAAATATATGGTTTACATTCATTTAATTGAAGTGTAAGGAGATAATATAATATTATCATAGATTTAAATGATTCCTCAAAGTCGAAATTTTTAATAATATGCTAAACTATTTTTCTTCTTCAATGCTATCTATCTCTGCTACCTTTCGTAAGTGAAAAAGATCTGATATATTTATTTACAGTTACAGTTACAACCTATTTAAGTCCACTGCTGAGATAGGACTTACCCAAAGATAGATTTAAGGGGGATATTTGCCATAGTTGCCACGCTAGGCAAGTGATTTGGCAACCGCAATTTTCTTTTCGAAAGACCTTATTCGACCTTATATAGCTGATAAGTTCTTTTTATGTACTTTTTTTCTTTTTTTTAATGTTATTAACATAATTATTTAAATGTGTTATTATTTTGTTGTGTGCTATTTTTTATTTATATTTTAATTTGTTTTGTGTTTTAGTTTTAAGATTAAATTGATTTGCATTCACTTATATTTTCTTTTAGCTTTTAATAACTTTTGTTAAACAATATGTCATTTATAATAATTGCTAAATTTAGTTTAAGCATATTTTTGTCTTGTTTTTATTTTTCCTATTATTCTATTTCTTTCCTTATTTTCTTTTGTATAATATTTAAGTAAAGTATACATTGCCTGTATCAAATCGCAGGCAATCTGTATGACTTAGCTTGTGATTGCATTTGTTAAAAATACGTGTCTAGAATTAAGTCAAATTGTGAAACTTTTCATTACAGACCCTTTGGAGATTTTGATGTAACCTCTGGATGAAATCAAATAAAAGCTGGGAGTACGCAGAGACTTCTTATCATGTACCTGCCCTAAATAGAAAGGCGGCATCATCTGCTAAACTTATGATCTGCCCTTTAGGGAGAGTCACATTACTAGGTATGTTCATTAATATATATGAGTAATAAGGTTGGAGAGAGTACACTGCACTGAAGCGTTCCGTAAGTAACTGTGCGTTCGGCACTGACTACATACGTAAAAGTATGGGTACAGAAACCGCGTCGAAAGCTTTAGCGAGATCTAGAAATATACCAAGAACTTTCTGCCCGTTGTCTAAAATTATAACAATATAATTTGTAAGGTCATAATTTGCGTTATAGTAAATAAAATATTATTATTTAGATCTTCTTGTGTTTATTTATAAAGTTTATTACACATGTTGTTTTAATATTAAAATTTTATATCGCAGGCTACAATGTCCTGTCAGTTCAAATGCAAGAGAGCGAGAGAGGAGATTCTGACATTGACAAGCTGCGTTCTGATACTACGTACGCACCGAACGTAGATTTACATGACCCAAAACCATATTGTAAGGGTGAAAGTAAGTAATTTTTTCCATGTAGTTTACGAGCCTGTTGCATATATGCACTGTCATTATCTAGCAGAAATAGGACGCTCTCCTAGGAAGAAAAGTAGACCTATGATGCCAGCGCCACCTGCCTTGTGCATGTTAATATTATTAAAATTGTAGTATACATATTAAATAACCAAAAATCATTATGTGAAACTATTTACTGTGAAATATCAAATAAATCAGTCGGAATGTCTTCTATACACTGAAAGTATTTTCTAAATTTCACACTGACCAATTATTTGTAATAGCACTACTGAACCTTTTCATCTAGTAAAAATTATTTAAAAAATATTTGCAGACTCGGATCATAAAGAACTGTTCTTCTCAGCATGTAGTAAATCTAATGACATCAATCATCATCAATCTAATGAAACTATTGTAGTGAAAGGGTTAGCCAACGTGCAATCTTGAAGATTGAGCTTGTGGTCCCAGGCATGCCCTAAGCATGCCCAGGGTGCGTTGAATAGAGATAGAGGCTTAACGCGTTATCCAATACGTTTCTTGTAATAAAATTTAAACATTTATTTTCTCAGAAATGAAAAATTATATTATTCATTTGTCACAAAAATTAAGCTTACTTGCCGTAAAATGATTGTAAGTATTGCTAAGAATATAATTTGGGTATGAAGTTCAGCAACCGATCTTCTATAAATTATTACATTTTCAAATAACAGAAAATTTTGATTTTGTGAAATTAATACCCGTTTAACAGTTTTGAATTACGATCTTAGGTATCAAGCTGTCAATTTAATTGGGTATTTTAACATGATTAAAACTACTTTTACGGATTTTATCGCGTTTATTTTTACTTTTTATTTTTTTTATTTTTTAATTCCCGACGTTTCGGGCGCTTTCCAGCACCCATGGTCACGGGGGACTGAGATGACTGACGTCCCGATGTCATTGTTAAACCCGGAGAACCTTCAGCTTTTTTAATTATTGTTTATGGTCCGATCTATGCAAAATGAACTGACTATGTCCTGAGGTCTTTTTTTTTATATAGGATAGGGTGACAAACGAGCACACAGTCCACCTGATGGTAAGTGTATGCTGTGGCCCATAGACATCTACATCCGTCCTCGATTACGAATCAAAATGCAGATGCGTTGTCACCCGTGAGGACTAAGATGGAATGCCTCGTTTCCAGTAAAAAGGGTCTCCGGTTCTCTACACTCACCATACGAAATACAGCAGCATTAAGCTACTATTTCACGCTGGTATTCTGTGAGAGCGTGGTCCTTCCCCGGTCGAGCCGACCCATTCGCGCTACAACTATACTACTAATATAACTGCAGCATGGCTCTACCACGTATTAAACGTCTTGCAGTGGTATGCTTGGGTTTAGTTTTAATTTTATTGATTATAGGATCCCAAGCAGGTGGTAGTACCCAGCCTCCTTCTCTATTGAAATTAGGATGTTTTTTTGATTTCAATAGCCTCACGTATCATCCTGGGTAGGGCCATGACCATGGGTGCTGGAAAGCGCCCGAAACGTCGGGAATTAAAAATAAAAAAAAAATAAAAAGTAAAAATAAACGCGATAAAATCCGTAAAAGTAGTTTTAATCATGTGAAATGTTCGCGTAAATATAAGAAATCATTGGGTATTTTAATTTAAGAAATATAATTATGATCTAATATATATTTAAACGACATTACGTAGGTGTCGTAAGAGGCGACAGAGGGAAAAGAAAATTGCGGCCAAGTCACTTGACTAGCGTGGCAATGGCAAATATCCCCCTTAGGAGGTAATCTTTGGGTAAGTCTTATGCTCAGTAGTGGACTTTAATAGGCTGTAACTGTAACGATAATACAACACATTAATCTCATCATCACTTCCATATACCATCGTAAGTCACTCTTGTTCCAACCCACTAAATAACTTCGATAACTGCCTACAACTTCGTTAAGCTGACAAAGTAAAATATTTACCTAGGAGTAATAATCGATTTTACGTTTCCATGAACACATTAATACTCTTGATGGCAGATTGCGTAAACTAATATATCTATTTAAAACTCTGAGAGATGCGGCTGATGAGAAAATAAAGAAATCCATCTACTACGCCTTGGCCCAATCTCTGTAACCACATGATATAACCTCCAGGGGAGGTGTTCCAAAACTTACAATGATTAAATTAGAGAGAACGCAGAGAGCTATCTGAACTTCAGGCAGTTAGTTCATTGAATCCAAGGACAAAGCAGCTGCAAGTAAGCTAGGAGTGCTTGCAAAGGCTCAGCGATACTTCCCGCCGAGACAACTGCTTGCTTGCAAGCGCAAGTCTGTTCGTTCATAGAGTATTGCTGCCGTTTATGGGCTTGCCACCTAGCATCTTTGGACGTAATGAAAAGGCCTGCTAAGAGGCTTATTGGTGACCCGAATTTGGTTAAAACCAATTCTATCAGCCTCGAACAAAAGCGTAAAGTAGCCAGCCTTACGGTTTTCTGCAGGATGCATTTCAGAGTGTGCGCATGAATTGCATAATTTAATTCCTCCCTCTCCCTTCCACCATTAGACAACCAAACGTTCGGCCACCCTGCACCTCCACCTTTTCGTTATGACTTACCACGCATTCTAACCAAACGGTTTGCTTTGTCGTTCATCTACATCACTACTTACCATCAGGTGGGATTGTAGTTAACCGCTGGCTTAGAATAATAAATAAATAAAAACAGCTGCCTACATAGTAACACCGGTGTTGACTGTTGCTGCCCAGAAATTGATGTAGTTGACTACTACTAGCTGTTGACTAGTTATTGACAGTAAATTTTATTGGAACCAGCATATTGAACGTACGTGTACTAAACTAAGACAGTTTCTATCAAATATCATTATTCTCAATAATTGAATTTCATTCAAAATAAAGTTAATGTTATATAATGCATACGGGCTAAGTAGCTACGGTCGAACTTACAAAACGTATCTTGACCAGATTCATAATTTACAAGTATTAACTAAGAATACTTAAGATCCATAGTTCCCAAAAAATAAAAAATAAATTCCCGGATACGAGGATGACACAGAAAATTCTTAGAAAACCAAAAACTGATCAAACTAGCAAGTTATTAGTTCTATTATATATTTTCAAAATAGTGTTTATTTACCGATGGAACCACTGAGAAAAGCACTTTGACCAATCGTCCTTAAGGGTCTCTTCGACGGCATTTTGAAACGCAGCCACTGCTTCCTCAGCGTCCAAAAACGTTTTCATCGAAGTTTTTCTTTTATTTACGGAAATAAATAAAAATCGCAAGGGGCGAGGTCTGAGCTATAGGGCGGGTGACCAATTACACGTCTGACGTCGCCAAGTAGTCGATTGTCGGTGTGCGACGATGCATTGTCGTGGTGAAGGAGGATCCTACTGTGAGGTCGTTTCTCCCGAACTTATTCAAAGACAAGTGGCAAACAATTGTTTTTCGATCCCCTAAAACAATTGTTGCGTAACGACCTGTCCTTCCGAAGAACGACGCCACCATCTTTTTTCCTACGCTTCGACCTCTCTTGACTTTAGTTGGAAACTCCTCGGAAAGAAACACCTACACAGCAGACATTCTCTTAGTTTCAGGATCATAACAATAAATCCAGCTTTTGTCATCCGTAAGTATGTCGAACACAGCATTTGAGTCACCTTCGTTAAATATTCGAATCATTTTGCGACAGCTGTCAACGCGACGGAGTGTTTGGGCCTCTGTCAAATTATGAGGTATCCACCGGGCACAAAGCTTTCTGACCGCTAAATGTTCGTGGAGGATTTTGTGCACTTGACTCATACCGATGCCTAAGCTTGCCGAATCTGTCGATGTCACTCTTGTCAGTCTCTATCATACGCCGTACAACACTGATGTTATTTTCAGTCGTCGCCGTAGAAGGCCGTCCCTCACGCAGATCATCGTATCTAATCTCACATTAGTGCGACCACGTTTAAACTCGTTAAGCTAGTTGTAAAAAGTGGCACAAGATGGGGCTTTATCGTGAAAGGCCAATCGATGTATATCATAACTGTCTTGTTGACTTAAACATTGAAAAAAACGAAAGTCATAAAGAATCATTGTACGTAAATTTTCTCGCGTTAAATTAATGGGTTGTCTCAGACCAAGTCCAAGTTGTAACGTTCAGATACTCATGATAATAAGCGTGATTATGAAATTTAAAATGGGGGTCATTTGGGGTCGTAGACCATGGTTATTGTTGCTGCAGCTGCAAATGAGGATCGATTCTAATTATTTTTCTGTTGTCTATATCTGTATTCCTCATCTTCTCTCTCGCTTGCGCTTACATGTAAGTGCAAGTGCAAGAACAAATTATATGCGTTATAGCAACTAAAGCTGAAAACCTAAAACTAAAGATGACGCATAGAATCGTATTGTATCGTAATTTTGAATGTGTTTTGTTTAATATCAAAATTGAATAAAGTAATGAACTACTTTTTACTTTTCTATTGATATTGGGTCTGAAATCGGCCAAATCAGCGTGAAATCGATTTGTTTCTCTTTACATTAATCGTACGGATGAATTATTTAAATAATATTTAATTGAGTAATTTACACAAAATATACCCTTTGCGAGAAAAAAAATTATAGCACAAAAATGGTACAAAAGTACCAAGTACTATTACGTATTTATTTCTATCAAACTGTAATAGGTACTGAAAAATAAAATAGGTATCAAAAAAAAAAATCAAATAATTTATTCAGTATCAGAGTTTTTACATAGCAGTGTTGTGAATGAGGACTTCTTTTAAGTAAATAAATACTTGTGTTAGAAATCCCCCCTCTCCGTAACATTGATTAACGAACACTAATGTGATACCTACTTACTTATAGTAGGAATATCATTAGGCTATACAAAACAAAAAAAAATAAATGAAATCGGTCCTCATTTGCAGCTGCGGCATCAAAAATATTGACGCAAAGGGTGATTTTTCTGGAAAATGGGTATAAAACTTCATTTTTTTTTTTAAATTTTCTTTAAGTCCTTCCATGGTCTACAGCCCCCTTTTGTTTAATCCTTACGTTAAATATATATATATATATATATATATATATATATATATATATATATATATATATATATATAAGACAATTCGTGTAATTTATAGGGAATCGGCGAAATAAACGTTTGTGTTGCTCTGAAAAAACAAACATCTTCGAAACCGTCTGCTTTATCTATTAGTCCACTCAAATACCTTGACAGCGCCATCTATCAAGTAGCGAAGTAAATTGTTTCTGCTTTATCGACTAACCATAAAAAGAATTTAATAAACAATAACAAAACTTAAAGAAATGTAATTTCTTTACATATATATATATATATATATATATATATATATATATATATACATCATCATCATCATCACAGCCCTTCACAAGTCCACTGCTGAACATAGGCCTCCCCCAAGTAATGCCACAAAGC